GGGGTTGTATTTCTGACCATAGCGTTTGTTTGATGAATGGAAACACCCTGGTTTGTACTGAGGACACTTTTAATGAAGATGCCGTCCAGTCTGTGCCCAGGAGGCGAGAAACATTGCACAACGTTTCCGTCCTTATTAGGAACAGTTGTGAAGTGCACACTACTGATAAGAAAGACAATAAATATGAAACAGCTGTACGGTGCTTCCCGGATCTTTAGCATAGATTGGCATCACTTAACTGCAAGTCTGACTGTTCACTGAGGTCGAATCTTATGAGGTGCATTAATCCTTGGGGTCGAGTGCAAAGCCATATTTTCGACTGGTCATCACTTCTGGACGAACAGGCACACAGAAAATAAAGTTTGAAAATGCTGGATTAGTCCATGGCACTTACCTTGCCTAATCTTGTATATGTGTTCGGAATAAGATATGGACATGCATTCCCTTCTTATCAACTTGACATAGAGTACTCACGCTGAAAGCTTTGGGCAGTGGGGTGGATAAGTCAGCTCGTCCACCTAGTTAACTTTTGCTTGTAGAATGGGAAAGGAATAATGAGAGACCATGGTGAACAAAGGACTGTGTGAGCAGATGATACTTCCTGGGTGCTCAGGCCGAGGGCGATGGGTTAATTGAGGTATTGAGCATTCATTAGGCACAAAACCCCAAAAGTCAAATCGTCAGAACGGAGGTTAATCAACACATCCGATATTACGATACAATGATACGATAATAAAGTTGCAATTTCTCAGACCGTGGAATCAATCCTGCTTCCATTTATTATTTATTATTTTATTTTTCCGCCGTATTGCATAGTACACCAGTGGTCACGGCCACTCTTTGGTTGGCTTCGGTTACTGATTTAAAAGCCAACTTTTCCTAACCTATCATTTCCCAGAGTTAGGCATCATCATCTCTCCGATGAATATAAAGTGGCTGGTGACCTGAGAGTCTTCCCACTTGTCCTCGCAGTCCCTTGGCAGAAGAGCGTACGGCTTTATCCCAAGACAGCTTTATAATACGATTACTGTTAGTACGGACTCTCGCTGTTCTTGGTCTGACTGTCTCCCTTTTGGCCATCCTGGCATTGTTACAACGTGTGGAAATAAGTTCCAGCCACTAAATCCCGCAGGACTATCGACTTACTCAAGTCTGCCCACCACGTCAGTGACAGCAGTACAAGAACCAAAACTATACCAAAACTTATGTACGAAATCGCGAGGACAAATAAATTGGTGTGGCTTTCTTACAGAAACGAAAGATTCAGTCATGTTGTTATGTTCTCCTAATTCACATTGCATTTATGGTGTTAAATTACTCACAATTCACTGAATTTGTATTGGAGAAGGTTAAAACAACAGACGCTGGTCACAAAAAAGTTAAACATAAGTACGTGCCTTCCATTATTCTTCTTGAAACTAAAAATAGAACACCCTCTCCTTATAACTGAAGGGCGGAAAATATTTTTCAACTGAACGGTTTTGCTCCCGAAATTCGTTACCAAATGGGGTTCACCAAAAACCTGCTCCTTGACACTATCACGTTTCACGTTTTTGGCCCCTGGATCTTGTACAGCTAGAAGGCTTGGTCCGAATTACTAGGATGTACGAAAGGAACGGGACGGCTGAACCCACCTTCCACTTGAGTCAGAATGAAGCAAGACAAAACATTTGTCTTACACAACACAGATGCACTCAGTTCATTGGTCTGTTTTTTTTATAGAAAAAATAAGAATTAAGGGCGTCGAAACTGTTCTGATACCGTTTACTTCCATCGACACAGATGTCAAGAGAATAGCCCTACCACTGGAGTTGGATGTGACGGGACTGGAGAGTGTGAGATACAGTGCTCGTTCGCCGCCCCAGATTTACTCCTGAGACAGAAGACAATGAAATCAGCTGACTCACTGGCCGTAATGAAATCAAATGGTGCAGGGGCGAAAATAGTCGAGACTGTGATGAACTATGGCGGGAAATAGTATAAATACTCTTCTGTGAGTTACAAATGATCAATCGAGTAGAAATTCAATTCAAATAGGATGATTCAGTGGGAACCCAAAGACCATTGCCGTATCGTCCGTAAAGCCTATTGGTTAGGTTATCAGCTGGAGTATTTTCCTCTCTTGGTCTTAGGAATTTGTTGGCTTTTAAGAAACCAAGATAGATGCCAGTACCCTCATCAGTTGGCCTGCTTGCATAGTATTCCACTAAATTTTAGCATTCCAGTGGTATAAAAGAACGAATTCTTTGCGACATTCAATTAGAATCCGAGTGGAAATTCTGTGACAACTTATAAAAGAGCGTAACCAGTCTCCGGGTTTATGCAAAGAAAAGCCTACAAACAGGCCGGGCCATGTCGACCAAGTTCACGCGTCACAGAACGAAAAGTGTCAAAATATCGATTCTACTACCCATTCACACAGTGTGGTGATGTAGGGTTCGAAGTGAAAAGCCCTTCAGGGACGATAGAGGGTGAGGAGGAGAAAGAATGTTTTATGTCCAGTTGACTGAAATGGTTCAGTAGAATACAATAACGACTATGGAAATTGGTGTTGTGCGGCAAGGATAGTTCCAGAATTTAACAGAAAAGAATAAGATCACGCCAGGGGGGGGGGGGATATTCATCATGGAACGCACCAGTTGTCTGGAGTCTCAGTCTGTAACGCAAAGGAGAAAGAATGTTTTATGTCCAGTTGACTGAAATGGTTCAGTAGAATACAATAACGACTATGGAAATTGGTGTTGTGCGGCAAGGATAGTTCCAGAATTTAACAGAAAAGAATAAGATCCCGCCAGGGGGGGGGGGTGATATTCATCATGGAACGCACCAGTTCTCTGGAGTCTCAGTCTGTAACGCATATATTTTAATGGCCTCCACCAGCCTTGCCGATGGGCTATGAATCGATTATGTATGGATATGTGATGGTGTTGCTGATGGTAAACATACTGTTTGGGGATACCGTTTTTATGTCGGATACTACGATTTCTATGATTATGGGTGCACAGGTCTTCAGGTAGCCTACTTCCTGGTCCTCTCGCGCCAGTCCGTGATGTCGACTCTTCGTCCGATAGGGGCCGTTAAAATAAAAATAGGGGCTCATTTCCTGAGACTAGTTCAAGGCTGCCACGCATAAATGTGGCTTTTTATCGTCCCGATAGCCTTTGCAGTTCTGAAATACCTCTTGTTTTCAGTAGGGGTTTCGTCCTGCCAGTGAAGCCAGTCTATGCTAAAATGCCGGGAAGAACTATTGTAGCCATCTCTCCACCACATGCATGACTGTACAGATCACCGCCACTCATTAGATCACGAGATCTGTTTTTTTTACGTACACTCAGGAATCATGCCACAGATTTGTGACTAACCTGGCTACACAGCTCACAATCGAGCCCGAGAGCCAAGGACTCGCCTTCTTTCCTTATGTGTACAAATCACTACACACCGGGGGTGACTCATCTGACATCGACTGTCTGGCGTATGATGAGTGTAGCAACAAGTCATATGGTGACACCCACACACGCAAACGTTCCTACATGTGGGATAACAACACAGCAACACAACACAACCCAACAGGGCTACGCACGTCGTC